AAAATGTTTAAAAAGCATAGTTGTCACCTTGTGTTTGATAATAGGTCCCATGCTACATATACAAAATTAAGTCTGTCGCATACTTATCACTAGTAAACAACTGATACAGGAAGTGCATCACATTGAATTGTATTGTTCAAATATAGTGCCTCTGTGAAATGAATGGCACTTTTGGGTGTGTGAATTGACTCTGGAAAAAGCATGCCATTTTACCTCTCTAACATCGATCGTCAACTATTAATTTCAGTGGTTAATGCAAAAAAATGCATGCAAAATGTTACTAATGTGTTATGTTATATGGGGAAAGTGCTCAACATTCAAGATCATCACAACCTTTCAACAAAACAAACTTTCAACATAATTTAGTAGCAATCAGGTATAATCAACTTGCTTATAAGGCCATGAAAAAAAAAATTCTCTGTTTGTCGTTTCATGGAATTTTTAAAATTTGGTGTTTTTTTGTTTTTTTTGTTTTTTTTAATACTGAGCTAAAATGGGAGAAATTTGAGACAAGTGCAAGTACAAGCGCATTTTGAAATGCTTTAGAAGGAAAAAAAAAAAAAAAACGTTTGAGGCGCATAGTTCAAAATGATGCACGGATTTTTTTCTCAGCAAAAACACAGACTAAATTGTGGCTTGTATTTATTGAGGAAATAGAAAAAAATATCAAATGTCTGTGACAAATTGTTTATTTAAAGTTTGTTTATGTTTGGTGTTGATGTGATAGGCAAAAGCAGCTTTGCAAAATTTTAGTTTTTGCCTTGTAAAATACTTCATATATTTTACATTCAATTCATCAAAAATCATTAAAACTAGATTCCATACGAAATACCCAAAAAATCCTTTTCGGCAAAAATTAATTCCAGCTAAGATAAAGTTTCTTACAGTACCTCGTCATAGACAATCAAATTTACCTATATTTTCACCTGTAAATACCCAGGAATATACTCCCTTTATTATGTCAAATTTTGTTTTAATTAAGAAAGTAACCTGTTACACGGGTTAAAGTTGCTAGAAAACAGTAAATGCTTTTTCTACTGCCAAGCTTCAAATGTTGACATCACATATTTATTTAAACAATGTTTTATCAGTAATGTCTCTTTAAATTAAGGTAGAGATTCAGGTTCAAGGGCACTTAGAAGTGAATTTTTTTGTTGCTTTTTATGATCCAAACAGTCTTGGCTATAGACTGTAAAAATTTTGTAGAATTGTGAATAGTGTAACATACTCAAAAAACGATTTTAAAATATAGATAACAGGTGCAAATATTCTCTCTTTTGAATGCTTAGCAAGATTTACCAAGACTGTACATAAATAATAAAAAGGAAACATATATATCGTAAAAAATATATCGTTTATCGTAATTAGCATATTTTTGTAACCCTCCTCTGATCGTACAATTTAATTTATGTGTCTGAATTTCATGAAGTGAGAAGACAATATTCTATTCTAAATGGAAAACCAAGTTTAATGTCAATTTGATTACTTAAAAGGCAGTACTTGACAATTGAAATTGGTTGAAATTACACAAAAAGTCTTGGCTAGTTAGTGTGAAATGTATGCTGGGAAAATAGGTGTCCATTTTTCACATGGTATTTTATGGCGTCAGTAAGAAGAGGGTTAAATGCTGGCCTTCCACCTAATATTTTCGTTCGTTCATCCCAAAATGGCATAGTTTTCGGATCTCTACTGCTTCTGTTGTTGTGCTCTGTCACTTCTCTGTACTTTATACGTTTTGATCGATCTTCCGTTGACATTGTGATGATGTCCTGTCCAACCCCTTTTCAGCCGCATTTTCTGCAATTACAGCATATACTCTAGCATCCCTAGACATTCCGACCATCATTCTTTCAATATTCGATTCTCTCCATACAGATATCAGTAATCTTGTTTCTTCGTCTGACAAGTTGACATTAGACCTGTAACCTCTGATGCCATCTTCTGTAATGCAAGCATAAATATGTCGGCAATAGAGGGCATTTGGCCGTAGCATTGTGTTCACATGGCACATTATGTTGTGCCCCTTTTACGATGGTGTCAAAAACGCTGACGCCACAATAGGTATTCTGTTCACACACACATTTTAACAACGTTTTCAAATAAAAGGCTCGTCCAGTGAGAACAGCACTTCAATATCTACTTCTTGCCTTATCTAAAAAATAACATCTCTATTCTATACATGCCTCCAAAATCCCATGGTAGACAAAACGTGTAACAAATCTCCAGGAGGGAAAATAAGAATTAGGGACTCCTGCAGATCTTTGGAATTGTTGTTGGCTGGAGTTGTAGGTGCAGCTCTTTGTATGGAACTACGCGAGTTTATACTATTCTTTAAGACAGACAGACAGAAAGACATCACATCACGTCCTCTTCAAAGCTAGCAACTAGGCTGTCATAAACAAGACCAGAGATTATTGACCTACCCATTAATTCACATCTTGAATATCATTGTTTCTTCTGGCTTTTTTGTTAATTTGTGCTGCTTGGAATAAAGCCAGATCTAGAGACTCTGTCCACTTAGTTTCGCCCCTTGACCCCTCTGTGAAAGTGGAATTACCATATACCCTACAGAGGGCCAACATGATTACCAGTACATCGTCTTACTAACTTACGTCAATATCAACATGGCAGTTTATTTCAATCAAATTTTCAGAATACATATATACAAAACTCTATGCTAAATTTATTGATCAATCAATCACAACTAATAAAGATGGATAATTCTTGTACCGATAAGATGTAGAATTTGGCATCCATTCTGCATGGTCCTTGTATCATATCTTATTACACAATAAATTATTGCTCAAGTTTTATACACTGCCAGCCAGTTATGTCATTGTTCTGTACTAATAATATAGTGGTTGTAGAGAAATAGATGTACTAGTACTTGCAGTTTCGGTGTTCGGTGTGAATGTTTTCTGAATTTGAAAAGATTTTTTATTGATGTCATGGATTATAGAAAAGATTATGTAGATTAGATTTATTTCCCGTATTCACTTCAAGTTTCATTGTTTTGTATTTTCTTTAAGTTTTAAAAGTTTCATTTTTTATACTTCCTTTAAGTTTTAAATTGTCTGTTTATTTTCCATTTATATAGTATGTGCTTTTTCCAGTAATTTTATTGCAGCTCCTAATTACTTACTAGTGAGTCCCTGATGTAAAAGGGTAGCAACAAATAAATAAATAAATAAATAAAATAAAAGAATCAGTCAGATTTTTCCTGCTGAAATATATCAATTACTTTATTTTATTTCTGAGCTTTAGTTTAGTCTCTTTTTTGTTAATATGTTTTTTTTTCATACTAAATTTTGTATCTATAATAATGTTCGATCAAGACTATGATAACAATCCACATTGCAATTTAATTTTCAGTGAAATAAATACAGCCTTGGGGCAGCCCATCAAAATGTTTCTGAATAATAGAATAGGGTCAAATTGTGGGCATCTATCAGTGTTCAACCAAATCTATACTTGGCTGTACCAAGCATGCATGCATATAATTACTGTATTTTATTGAGATGTCAAATCCACCATAATCTAATCCATGTAAACATGTAAAATAACAATAGAACTCATTATTTCCCTGCAAAGTTTGTGTACCTGCAATCAAGTGAAATTGCTCAAAATATTGAAATAGTGAAATAAATGGTTTTACAGTATTTTCTGTCAGTGTTTATGGACCAGTATTTTTGATATCGGGTATCCTTGTGTTTTACCCTGCTCAAACTTTCAATAAGACAAAAGAAGTTACTCTTATGCTAATGAAGGCTATTATTCCAAAATAACCTGCATAATAATATGTAAATTAGGTTCTACTGTTATGTAAATGAACCATAATGCTAATTGTTATGCTAACTGGACATTTCAACATTTTTTGTGCAGTGAATCTCAGAGAATAGCTCCAAGCACAATTTCAGAACAATTTCTAGATTAGTTGTACAAATACACCGCAACAATCAGATAAACATAAATCTTTTGATTTTCCAAAATAAAAAAACTCACATTAGTGTTCAGTTTTTTCATAACATTTTTGATCAAGTTCTTTAGGAAGTAAGATAATTTAGTAAAAAAATTAACAACCAAATATGAGAAAAATGTGCAATATGTTGGACCAACATTTTGCAGGAAAATATTAAATTAAGAATGCTCTATAACAATAATATGATTATTGTCAATGTATAATATTATATAAATATTCTCTAGATATAAAATATTTTCACCATAGAAAGAGAAGCAAAAATAGGAACAAAATCTGTGTGTTGAAAATATTTTTCGTGTCCTAGCAACATTGACTCCTGTTATTGAGAGTATTAAGAACATACATGTACTGGTACATTTCAATTTTATGTATTGCTTATCTTCTTAACTGTAATATGTATTTTTTTACTATTCTTTACAGCTAATTATCCAGAGGATGTTGTTGCTAGGTTACCCACTGACATCCCAACTGGAGTGTACTATGGATGGGCAAAGGTCAATAGTGGGAAAGTACATAAAATGGTTATGAGTGTAGGATGGAATCCATTCTATAAAAATGAGAAAAAATCAATGGTGAGTGAAATATTCTTGTGCACCACCAAGGATGAATGTAATTATTGCGGCATACGTACATATCATATCACCAATGCATATTCAGCACACGTTCGACCCATGGAATACATTTACATGGGTAATTTACATACTGTAGAACTTTATTTTCGCTTGGAATTTATTTTTGCTATTTTCGCTGAAGGGATGATTCTGTGAAAATACAATCCAGCGTATATATATTTTTTTCTATATTTCACATTAAACTCTTCACAAATCAGTGAAAATAAATTCCATACAAAAAGCCCAAAAAACCTTTTCAGCGAAAATTAATTCCAGCAAAAATGAAGTATTCCACAGTATATTGTTTTAGATGCAGGATAGTGCAAAGACATGGTGCTTGTTGAAAGCAGACAAAATGCTTCTTGCCACTTAGTAGTTTAGAAACATTATTTTCGAATGGAGAGATTGAATGATTGTGTCACAGGGATAAATTCTCGCGTTGCAGGCTGTGATGCCTTGGGAGAACACTGGCTGAATGCATGTACTAAAATAGATGCACACTTCCAATACCGTCATATTCATACCATTAAAATTCTAAAATTGGTGGAGGCTGCTAGAACCGATAAATAGATTTTATGTTCAGTAAAACAATGAGTTCAATTGTTATTTTTCAATTTTAGCAAATTTAACTTATCAGTGAAAATGGCAAAATTAAAACCAGTGAATAATTAATTTAATGTGTTAATAATGTATAGAAAATGGTAGTAAGTAATCTTAGTCGTAAACGTTTTTGACAAAGTCTTATTTCTCGATGACTCGTGTCTAATTATATCTATCATTGAAAAAAAGATATTTTGTCTGAAATGTCTAGTTATATTGAAATACTATCAAGGATTATGATTACCTACTACCATTTTTCATATTTTATATTTATGTCAAATGCCGCATTCATAGCATTAAACATTGGTAAAAGCTGCTAGAACGAATTAATATAATATATAGAAAAGGTTAGTGGGTAATCATATCTTTAAAAATAGTTCAATATAAGCCGAAATATCGGACAATGCACCTTTTTTCAATGATAGATACAATTTATCTCTGATTATATCTTATTAAAGATACTTTGTGTCTGAAATTTCTTGTTATATTGACAAATTATCAAGGACTATGATTACCTACTTCAATTTTTCATATGTTATATTTATTTCAAATATGTCAAAGCGACAATAGCTGTGATTTTCAAAATGTGGTTGTTTAATTATAACCTAATCTTACTGAAATGTTCTATTTAACACAGTAACATGGGAAAAGTGACTCAAGGCTAATTACGCATAAAATGTGATGTGAAAACTTAAAGGGTCATGTATTTGCCATTTCATTGAATTCCGACATGTGTGGGAACCTTAGGAAACTATGGCACACAACCTACACTATTATAGGAAATGACACAGAAAAACATCAGTGAGAGGCCGACTGCCAGAGAAATGCTTGGCCTCCCAAAAAGGCGACATATTTGACATTTCCATTTCACCTAGGGTTCCCTAGGACCTTGTACAGTTGACAAAACTGAATTTCAATATTAAACCTGGACGTAATCCTGCTGCCATCTTTTTTCACAATGTAGTGAAATGATGCATTATTTGCTTCCAATTGGCAGTGAATTACTTTAATATGGACAATTTAAATTGACAGCATTCATTGCCCTTCTAATTCTTCACGATGTACAGTGGCAACAACAAGTAAAAGTGTCATTATATAAATCATGTAGAAAATACGTTAAACCATTTTTTCACAAATTCACTCATATTTGTTTTCTTGCAGGAAACGCACATTTTGCATGAATTTGAAAAAGATTTTTATGGTTCTAATTTAAGTCTTATTATGGTTGGATTTGTTAGAGAAGAAAGAAATTTTAACTCCCTAGGTAAGTTTTTTTTCTTATGGTAAAAAAGAAAGATTTAACTCCATAGGTGAGTGATTATAATAACATGTTAGAGCTTAATAAGTCAAATTATTTTTCAATAGTTGTTATTTTGCTTGTACTTTTTTTTGCCAAAGTAGTCATTGCTTAGTGGACAAACAACACATTTTTTTCAACAACAAAAATAGAAATATATTGTTTTTCGTTGTCCAAATAGGTCTCTAGTTTCAAAAATTTGTTGTCCAATGGCAAAAATGGTTGCTCAGGAGATCCAGACAACTGCCATTTTGGGCTCCTGATTGTAAAAAAAGAAATTCTTGTTGAGTCTAATTTTAGTGAAATGGATGCTGCAGGAATATTAGTTAGAAATTCAACACTGTTTTGTTACAGATATAAACATTACATCTATTCTGAGAATTATTTGGACAGTTAGTTAGCAAGATGACTTGCAACTTGGCAAAACACTTTGTGTTTAGTCTAGTCTAGACTTGACAGCGCCATTACATTGACACCTGTTTTGTTTAGATCATTCCGTTATCATACAAGATGAGGGTTTTGGTAAAGTCCAATTTTTCAAATATATTTATTCGAATATAAGAACAGGGTATTTTGAAGTGTTTTAATATTTCCTGAATTATGTCCAATGTAGATGAATAAAAAATGAAGAAAATATATTGAATACGTACACCATGTTTGCAAATCATAATGTTGATCACACTATGAAATAGTAAATCACACACAGCATGCCATGCCACACATTGTCAAGTCTAGAACAAAGCGAATGCCGAATTGTTTTACAAAGTCGCCAGCAATCTTGGTAACTGACTGTCCGAAAAATTGTAAGAATGGCTGTAAATATTGTTAAATTTGAATATTCACAGGGCTTATTTTTCAGCAAAAATAAGCGAATAATTAGGTCCACTTCACAATGCCCTTACAATCAGTTTTTAATTTCTGCTCCAATTTAGCTGAAACAAAAAGCATGGCCACTGCAATGTGGACAGTATACAAAAATAAATGCATGAGAATAAATTTGTTTCCTGAAATAAATGTTGTCATATTTTTATTTTCAGATGAGCTCATATCAGCAATCCATGCCGACATTAAAGAGGCTGAGACTCAGCTAGAACTGCCAGAAAATAACCAATACAAAGACAGCAGTTTCTTCAAACAGAAGCCAACCAGTGATAGCCAACTATAACACTAACAACAAAAATATGCAATAAAATAATAATGCTATCAGACAATGTTTATTTTTTGATGGTTTCAATGCTGTTCTGTGCAGTCAGTAGATATAAATTTGTGCGTAAGCATGTTTTAACGTGTTTCCATTCGTAAAAACAGTGCTGATATAATGGCAATAAAGTTGTTCAAATTATGTTCTGATCTCCTGCATACACAAACATATTATAAAGACCAGCTTCTCAATCTATGGGATTGAACCAACCATGGAATTATGTTAATTATGTGTTATATTTTTAAGCCAGTGAATCATTTTGTTTTTTTGAGGTTATTCTCAATTATAAGAGAATTTAAAAATGAAATATTTACAAAGTTAATTTAGTGGCAGCATGTCTAATTTTTTAAACAAGTACACACATGTACTTCTTTAATAGCTGTCATGTGATGACCCGATTTTCGTACATTGGGTTTTGGGTTATCATGTTGCTTAGCTTTCATGTGCACTGACTGGATTGAATCGACATTGATTCACGTCCAGTCAGAATGAATATGCAGGTATTTTACTACATCAACTTAAGTTTGGTTCCAAATGTGTTTATCCTGTCAAAGTTGCTTTTAAAAGTTTACAAAATGTTTGTATAAAGGAATTTCGTTATTCAATAATTTCGTTTGAATACTGGGTAGTTATAATTGATAACACTGTCGTATATGTGTTTAGGACATTTCTGTACAGTACAATACAAGCATGTCCAATTATCAAAAAAAACTGAAGCAAACCAACATGTTTGGCACCAAACTTAACTGAGGTAAACTGGTATTTTGGGGTATGTGTCGGATAATTCCATTATTTTTGTGTATTAAAAGCGGTAGAGTCGTCACCTGTGCACGCGCGGGAATCGAGTCCCAAGCGACTATAACAACACTTGCTGAAAATTGCAATGGCTAATCGGTAGATGCTTGTTTGTAAACAATGACACGCTATGACAATTCGAAGCATGCAGCTTTAAGTGTTTTCAATATACTGGCTTTGTTTATATGTATTGAAATTGTCTGTATTGTTTCTTTGTACAGTTATATACAGTAATAAATATGACATGAAAATTAAGCAAATAATGCTTCATGATAAATTTGTTAATATGAATAGGGGTCATGTTGGTGATAGTCGGTACTAACCGTTAAATGGGATATACTAGTATATCCTGATTGGGAAACAAAACATCTTTATTTTGGTATATATCGCAATCTGGATTCGCTTATATACCGATCGGAATATATATCTCGTTGACATGTACTAGTTGTTCGGACTGATTGAACTTGCATGCAAATGGATGTACAGATATTGCTATGGACCAGAGAACCAACAGAATTGTTTTGTTTGCCATTCATATAATGTTAATTGTCAACTGTTCTATGGATCCAATGACATAACAACGAAACGTACGATAGCTACGGTAGTCATAATGTCAATAACTGGTGAGCAGGATGGCGATAACTGTTGAGCTGGTTGTCAATAACTGGTGAGCAGGATAACAATAACTGTTGAGCTGGTTGTAATTAACTGGTGAGCAAGATGACAATAACTGTTGAGCTGGTTGTAATTAACTGGTGAGCAGGATGGCGATAACTGTTGAGCTGGTTGTAATTAACAGGTGAGCAGGATGGCGATAACTGTTGAGCTGGTTGTAATTAACTGGTGAGCAGGATGACAATAACTGTTGAGCTGGTTGTAATTAACTGGTGAGCAGGATGGCGATAACTGGTGAGCAGGATAACAATAACTGTTGAGCTGGTTGTAATTAACTGGTGAGCAGGATGACAATAACTGTTGAGCTGGTTGTAATTAACTGGTGAGCAGGATGGCGATAACTGTTGAGCTGGTTGTAATTAACAGGTGAGCAGGATGGCGATAACTGTTGAGCTGGTTGTAATTAACTGGTGAGCAGGATGGCGATAACTGTTGAGCTGGTTGTCAATAACTGGTGAGCAGGATGGCAATAACTGTTGAGCTGGTTGTAATTAACAGGTGAGCAGGATGACAATAACTGTTGAGCAGGATGTCAATAACTGGTGAGCAGGATAACAATAACTGTTGAGCTGGTTGTAATTAACTGGTGAGCAGGATGACAATAACTGTTGAGCTGGTTGTAATTAACTGGTGAGCAGGATGGCGATAACTGTTGAGCTGGTTGTAATTAACTGGTGAGCAGGATGACAATAACTGTTGAGCTGGTTGTAATTAACTGGTGAGCAGGATGGCGATAACTGTTGAGCTGGTTGTAATTAACAGGTGAGCAGGATGGCGATAACTGTTGAGCTGGTT